TAAGTTTCAAAGGTGGTGCCCCATAACAATAAAAAAATCACAAGAACAAATTAGAAGACTTAAGGCATGTGGTCCTATAGTGAAACTGTCACATGAATAGTGTTGGAGACAATGTAACTTAACTTTTAGAGCATGTCTTAGAAGATGAATAATAGTAAATTAATTTGATTGACCATAAAAATGGGCTGGTGTATTACTCAGTTCATATTAGATCCAAAATCTTTTAATTAATATTTGTTAAGAATTATAAATTTTAAACAAACATTAAATATATAGATATTTAAGCAAAATTTTAGTATTTTATCTTTTGCTTGAATCAAAGACTAGATTGGAATTATGATGTTCTAAATTTTTTGGTGTAAAGTCAGGCTAAACTTTTCTCTTTAATTGCATTCCATTTCTACAAAGCTAATTTTTTCTTTTAAATACCAATTCAGACATCTGGTATACTTATATTTATAAAAACAAAAGTTGTAATGCCCAATTTTAATTTAATGTAAATTAAATTAATTTATGCAATTTTTTAAATTTTTTTAATGTAAAAATGAAGAAATTTTGATGGATGATGAAATTGAAAACGATTTTAGGGAAAATATGTGAAAATTTGGGTTCTATGGATATTTTTGAAAGAAAAATTAGAAAATAGGGGTCAAAATATAATTTAAAAAACTTGTACCACGTAGGATGCTCGGTCAACAGCCCCAACGAACCAAAACGCGTCGTGTGACAACGGACGCTGATGCGGTGTCATGCGAGAGGCCACGCTGACGATCTGGGTGTCTGCGATCGAACAGTCTAGATCCGTTCCCGCGAGCACAAACGGCCTGGATGCGTTCCTTTTCCAAACAAAACCAGACGGTCAGATTTAAACGCGATAGGACGGTTCAGATTAAATCGCGATGAATAGCCCAGATTAAATCACGATGAACGGTCCAAATTCACTTCCGATTTAATCGCGATCGGATGATCCAGATCAAATGCGATAGACGGCTCAGATTAAATGGAGATGGATATAAATAACTTTCATTACACCAAATCATAACCCTAGCCGCCAGACACCCTTGCTGGAGAAGAATACTCAGTCGCCGTCGCGCTGGAGCTACTTCTGACCGCCAAAAAAGGTAAAAATTTTCTCATTTGCTCGGAATCAAATTTTAAACACCCTCATGGCCAAATCGGAGCAAAAGGACCGGTTGATTGGCTGAAAACTGCGGGTAAAACCCGACGCCGACATCGCAGGAAATTTCACAAAATGCCTTCGATGAGGCCCTTCACGATTCTCGTTCGGCGTAATTTTTCCACCATTGTAATCACCGTTTCTTTCTTTATAAGTTGATCAGAGCAAAACACTCAACCGCAACATGAGCCGGAGGAGCCGCCGCACTAGAGAGCCCCGTCGCTGGTGAGTTTCAGTTTTTTATATTTTTTGGCCAACTGAGCCCCTTTAACGTGTTTTCTCGTAGAAATTGATGTAAAATCGACCAAAAATAGCAACCCGAGGCCGACCGTCGTTGTAGGCAGCAATGCCGACGCCAGAACACGACGGAGCCGCCATGCCAGAATTTTGAAATTGGCCAAAATTGGGTTTTGAGACTGATTTTAGGTTTTTTGGGATATTTGTAGGTACTTATAGCGCGTTTTAATTTTCGGAGAAAAATTTAGAAA